ATGCAGATGCGGCTTCAGAGAGTTGAGGGTCTGAGACATAATGGTAGTTGGAACTACGGGAAGGAATAAGATTTCTTAGATCAAATGCACAGATGAACACCACAAAGAGGCTGAACATTTTTGTTTACCTGGCATACAAAAATATTCTTATTAGCCTATATACACCCCAGCATAAGAAGTACTAGGCTTTGGCGTCTGACAAGCGGTGAAATAGGAAAAACTCTGTAGGAAGTAGAATCAATGCTCAGGACCCTAACCTCACCCTAGGGCAGATCTCTTGGAAATGGGAACCAGAGGGAGGGTGTTCCCAGGCCAGATCTCAGTGTGCATGTGGGCTTGTCCATCTTAGTTTTCACCCCAGTTATGCACGATCTCTGAGGGGCCTGATCTGGAGGTAGGAATGGAGGTCCCATGAGAGGTATTTTTTGAAGTGGGGTGGTTAGCCACATCAGTTTCAGATTTGGTTCAGTCATGTGTAAGGGATATAGAAAACAATACCAAATCATCTGGAGAAGGGGCTGGTATCATGGCCCAGGCAAGCAGGCTGGAGCTCAGTCCCAGTTAGGCCAATGGTTTGCGAATCAGGAGGAAACAGTCCAAGATAAACACAGGTTAAGGGAAAGAGATGCTGCTTAGTGGGTTTAAGGAATCCAAGCCCTCACCTGGAATTCAGGGTTAGGGCCGGAAGAGCGATTCTAGGTCCCACCCTCCAATGGGAATGGGGTTCCTAATAGGCATAGTCAGGGCAGGCTCAGGAATTGGGTGGCATTCATCCTACAGTGTGAAGTTTATAGAGCTAAAGCAGAGACTGGAATTTTCAGCTTTCTCTCTAACTCTTCCCTCTTATTTTCCTTAAAAGTCCAATAAAATGGCGTTTCCTTGAAATTTCCAGTCCTGTCCTCTCCAGTTGTCTAACTCTATCCTTAGCTTAGAGTCCCAGGGTTCCCATTATACCTGCACATATGCACACATGGTTACCCTCCATTTTCTGATTTCCAGGAGGTACATACGGGTTTGTGCCGTGATGGGCACACCCAGGCACCGCCACTATTGAACTTATAATTACCTATCCTAGCATTCCTGTGCAATTTTGCCCATTCTGCACTATACACATTCAGCATCTCCCATCTTGATATTTGTGCTCACCTAGCTCTAGGTTCATAGCTTCACAGAAGTCAGCAGACGGTTCTTGACAGTAGCAGCAACAGCTATATTTATTGAGTGTTTACCATGTACCATATTATCCTAAGCGCTTAGGTTAAAATTTCATTTAACCCTCGGTCAGCTCTGTAAGGTAGTTACAATTATTATGTACCAGTGAGGAAATATTTACTGGTGAGGAAACTGAAATTCACGAGTTGAGAAATTTGCCTTAGGTCATGCAGCTAGGAAGTAGTAAAGCTTGGATTCTAATTTAGGACTAACTCCAAAACCCATGCCGTTAACTATCACGTTATAAAAAGGCAGATGTTTACTGTATTCCTTACTCTTTGGAGCATGAATTTATATTGTATGTCATGGAATAAGCTGAGAACCAACTAATCTCTATTAATAATTAGGGGACTCCAAGGGCGCCTGAGCGGCTCAGTCAATTAAGCGTCCAACTCTTGATTTCGGCTCAGGTCATTATCTCAGGGTTGTGAGATCCAGCCCCACGGCGGGTTCCATGCTGGGTGTGGAGCCTGCTTGAGATTCTCTCTTTCCCTCTCCCTCTGCCCCTCCCCTCCCTTAAAAAAAATTAAGGGAATCCAATGGCTTGGTCAAGTGGCTAATCTCGTTAACAGAGAACAGAGCTGGGAAGGAGGTTATTCTTAGTAATCACCTAAGGAACAAAACCCCACACTTAACTCTCTGTCAAAAAACAAACAAACAAACAAACAAAAAAAACCCTGACGAAACAAAACAAACAGAAAACAACACTTTTATTTAGCACCTGCCTCCTTCGCTGGTTTTATTTATCCTACAAAGTCTAGGAAATGTGATTTCCCAGGTAGAACCTGAATAGGTAGCAGAGAAGAAAGGTGGCGTGGTCAAGTACAAAGCATTGTACTGGGAACAATGCCTGTGGTTGGTTATCCAGCCTCAACCACTGCTAATTGAAGTCCTTTCACCTCTGCCCCTTTTTTGTTACCTGGAAAATTGGAGTGTGAATAAGGATTTGGGGAAGAATTACAAAGTTAAGAATTAATGCAATAGAGGGCGCCTGGGTGGCTCAGTTGGTTAAGCGACTGCCTTCGGCTCAGGTCATGATCCTGGAGTCCCGGGATCGAGTCCCACATC